CACCACCCCCGAGAGTGGGAACCACAGGAGAGTTCCGATGGCAGGTGGTACCCGTCCAAGGCCGAGGCGGAGTACACGGCAGCGCTGGCGTTCAGCATCGCGGTGGCGGCTTCGTGGTGGGCTGCCAGGGTCGGCAAGGCACGCCTGACGGTCCCGCGGATGCCAGCGATTGAGACGGTAGGTCGCCGGGAGCACTGGTTGGAGTTCGATGGACGGGCTCTACGCGAATGGGCCATGGCACCGATGGCGGTGAGCCTCGGGCTCAAGCCGCCCCCGCTGGCATCGGGCGCCACGGTGCCTCGGCGAGTGGTGATCCTTGAGGTGCTGTACGAAGATGGTACCCTACCCGAGGACGTGGTCTACGTTGGACGAGGGCATCACAGCCATCGAGTCCCTACGTCCGACTGGAGATGCCCGTGGGTGCCGGGACACGATTGCTCGTGGGACGAGTGGATCCCACGTTTCGTGCAGTATGTCCACCAGTCAGGCCTGAATGAGCGATTGCCAGAGCTGATGGGCAAGAGGCTGGCCTGTGATTGCAGCTTTGAGGAGGTGTGCGAGGCTGACATTTTGGCCGGCTTGGTTTTTGAGGAGTGTGTCCAGCAGTCGGCCGCACAGCCAGCACGGTGGAAGAACCGACGAGTGCCAAGACGAGGAGTCCTGCTGGCATGGGGCGGCTTGCCAGGAGTGGATGCCAGAGCGGTGCCGTGGAGGCGTTGGACGCAAGAGGCAGTGGTGAACTGCTTCTTGGGTCTCTTTCCTGAGCCCTGGTTCACGGGCTTCCGCTTCCCCATGATTGAGGACCTTATCAACCAGTCTCCTTTCATCGACTATGCGGAGTGGCGGAACGGGCAGCATCTGGATTGGGATGGTCCCCTGGGCCCTGCCACGGCCCCGGCGGGGGTCCGCATCCGGTCGCGCACAGCGGAGGGGCAGCAAGCGGGTGCGTTGAGCCACAAGGCAGCCCTGCCCCCGCTGATCTCCGGTGTACCCAATCCGGACGACCACTTCGCTGCGGCCTTGGCTATGAAGATGACGCCAACCCCACTGGAGCAGGAAGCAGTTATGGATGAGGATTTGCAGTTTGTGGCTTCCGTCATGGCGGCACGCAGGGGGGACCTGCGCCAGATGCGACGTGGAGCCATCGGGGCCGTCAAGGAGCTGAAGCAGAGATGGAAGCGAGTGGATGATCAGTTGAGGCAATTCCAGGCACCAGCCCTCCAAGCAGTGACAGCACAAAGGGACATTGGCTTGCTGGGCCTGTTGGTGATATTGCTGGCGTGGCCCGACGTATCATACCCCCATGGCCTGGTGGTGGGCCTGCCAGCAGTCGGCTATGCCCCCCACTACGGCGTGTTCCCCCAGCAAGACGCGCGGAGGATCACCTTTGAGGAGGTCCTGGATGGGGCAGGCGAGAACAACCGGCTCGTGCTAGCTAGTTTGCGCCCGGGCAAGGATGATGCCTTCTTGCTGGAGCAGTCGCAGAAGGACGCTGAGCGGGGGTTTTGCACAGCCCCGATGTCCCTGTCCGAGCTGCAGCGGGAGCTCAAAGGGCAGGAGTTCCGACTCATACCCAGGTGTGTCATCACACAGTCCTCAGGCAAACAGCGTGTGATCGACAACGCAGACACAGGGGGTCAATCCCTCCGTTCATCGGACGCCAATAAATTAGTCCTCTGTTCACCGTTGCGACCAGCCCAGCACATTGCAGCGGTGATGCAACGCATGGATGAGAGCCAACTTCGCTCGGCCCGCGAGGGTGACTCGTGGGAGTCCGGCGGGGAGGATTGGCCAGATGCCTATCGCCACTCTCCTATGAGCAGTGAGGAGGCCAGGGGTTGCATCGTTTGTTTTTGGCATCAGGGCTGGGGGGCGCCTGCGTTTCAGCGGTACGCAGGGCTGCTCTTTGGCCTGCCGTTGGCCGTGACCAGTTTCAATCGGTACTCCAGGCTAGCGGAAGCGCTGGCCAGACGACTGTTGGCCCTTCTGGTTTCGTTCTACTTCGATGACGCCCACATCACGGATTGGCGATCGGCCGGTGGTTCCGGCCAGTGGGCACTGGAAGAGCTGAACCGGCTGCTGGGCACGCCATTCTCCGAGGACAAGAAGCAGCCTATGGCAGCCCAAGGGCTCTTTTTGGGGCTTGACCACGACCTATCTCAGGCGCTGCACGACGGCGTGGTGTCTTTCTGGGCTCGGGAGCGGCTGCACGAGAAGATGTCCGGGATGATCCAGAAGGTCAGGAACGAGGGGAGACTCGCACCTGGCCTCGCGGCCAAGATCTACGGCCTGGCTAACTTCTTGGAGATGGGAGTCTATGGCCGCGTGGGATGCGGCGGATTGGGCTCCATCAAGACGCGGCAGGCTGAGAGATCATCTGAGCTGACTGAGCCTATCAAGGCGAGCCTTGAGTTGCTAGAAGCAGTTTTCGCTACCCAGCCACGCCGAGTGCTTCAGGTTTTACCAGTGCCGTGTGAGAGGTTTGTGATAGCTTCGGATGCGGCTCTTGAGAGCCCTCGTCAGGGGACGGGAGGTTTCCTGATGGTGTGGGCCGACGGCTTCGCCGAGCGACGGGAAGCTTTTGTAGCCGACATCCCACTTGAGCTTTACCAGTTGTGGACTCCGGGGGACCGGAAGATTGCCCAATTGGAGCTGTCCATGGTGTTGTACGCACTTCTCTGCCGACCGGATACATTCCGTAATCGGAGGGGAGTGTGGTACATCGATAACACCGCAGCCCTGATGTGTTTAATCCGTGGTAGATCCAGGGAGCCTGATCTGGAACGAATGTCCCACGTGATACACACAGTTTTGTTTGGGCTGAAAGTTTGGATGTATTGGGAGTGGATCCCTTCCAAATCCAACTGGTCTGATGCGATTTCTCGGTTAGGATGGCAGGACCCATGGGCCCGCCAAAATGATTTTTCAATGTCTACTGCTTTCTGTTTCCCCATCATGTGGAAGCTGCCATTTCGTGCCGTGCTCGCGGTGACGAGCTTTCTGTAGTGCTTTGGGAGTTGATGAAGTGCATTGGGGAACTTTTAAGGATGTTAGAGGCATCCCAACCGGAGTTGACCGGTGGCCCCCTCTAAGCACAGTCCATGCAGGAGATGCATGGAAATCCAAAGCATTATCCCTCAGGCGATGAGGGTTGTTACAGGCACGGGCAGTGCAGACTATGAATGATGAGAAGGGAAAAGAATTGGGGTGCGTCGCAGCCTAGCAGTAGGAACGATACGTGACACATTGATGTATGCCATGTTTAGAGCTTGGCAGGCATTGGGTGAACATGTATCATCAATTGTTATGGGTCTGCCATTTTGGATCAAGACTGAGCCAAATTGGCAGATACCTTTTTGGTTTTCCCCACCCAACCCACCCTAGTTGTCTGGCCTGGCGTCCAGTAGCCGACAACTTTGAAGGTCCCGATGGGACTGGGGTTTGCGCAAAGGCGCACTGTGCTGTTTCGAGGGGAGGGGAACTTTTAAGGATGTTAGAGGCATCCCAACCGGAGTTGACCGGTGGCCCCCTCTAAGCACAGTCCATGCAGGAGATGCATGGAAATCCAAAGCATTATCCCTCAGGCGATGAGGGTTGTTACAGGCACGGGCAGTGCAGACTATGAATGATGAGAAGGGAAAAAGAATTGGGGTGCGTCGCAGCCTAGCAGTAGGAACGATACGTGACACATTGATGATCATTATTCGCATTGGTGCCAGCATCACTGTCATCACGAGCAATAGTTGTGTTATGATTGTTAATGACAATGTCTTTATTCAAAACATATGTTTGTTCCGGAATTCTGTTTGGACCCGCCCACTGTCCCGGTCAGTTTGCAAAATAATATCCGACCCCATGCGCATCGAAACAAATATATGATGTTATTCTATTCTGAGCTTTAGGGCTTCCAATATTAGAGTTGCAATGGACGGAGACCACCCCCCTTCACTTTTGTTTTTGTCTATTCTGATTCATTTTAGGGCCCGTTCTGCCGGTTGCTGTCTCTGCGAATGATCAAAGATCACGGGCGCGGAGTGCCAGACCAATTCGTCTACAGTAACCTCAGCTTGCGCAGATCCTTGCGCATGCTTTGCAAAAAGGTAGTGCGTGCTATTCTCTCTCGGCCTTCAAAAAGAATAAGTTTTCCATGACGAAACAATAAACAGCCTCCCCCAGGCAAAAGATTAAGTGGGGAGGGAGTCAAACAGCAATGAGAAGAAGGGATGTATCCGTTTGGTCATTTCCCATGTGTTTGCAAACCCTGGGGCGCTCCCCAGGCAAGACCCCCAAAGCAGAAAAGGGAAACGTCGGCCGTGACTCAGAGCTTGTTTACCCCCCCCCCCACTTGGGGGTTAGCCCATTTTTTGGCATGGTCTGCGGGTCTACGGGTCTGTGGTGAACTGGTGAACTTGCATGGTAAGTGGACAGGCGCGGTGGTGCCTCCAAGAATTGGGCAGGCGGTTGATTTCAAGTTGTGTTGGATGATGATCATGTCAACCCTGAGGATTCTAAAGCCGCCGTCAGCGGCTGGGTTTTGACAACGTAATTGGTTGCACCGATCCCTACTCTCGAGTAGTGGAGAGGAGTGGCGTACCCCCAATTTAGTGCCCTTTGTGGGTAACGTGCACATCATGTATGGAATGTAGGGGGGGCATGGAGGGGGGGAGGGGCATGTGTTTCGGAGCCTGTGTGGGGATTGACATTGCTATGTTTATGCAGCATCCAAGTGAATGACTATCGCGACATCGCCAGATGCTGACCTTCGACGTTGGGCTCTTCAGCCTGAGGGGGGCTTAATGTCAACATGGCCGTGTCTTTGCGGGAACCTCCCTTCTGTTTAAAGGAAAGGATTTGAGGTGTTACTGTATTTTTCGGACTGAAGAAGACCGCCCACAAACTTGTGGCTGGGTGTGACTTGATGTTGAGGGTGCCTTGGTTTTTTGGTGGAAAATACGGAAACTCCGCATGGCAAACCGTCAACGCGGAAAAAGCAACGCGAGGTAAAGCTTTGGGAAGCACAGGCGGGACATTGCGACCCCTTCGAACTTCGAGGGAGCGAGTTCGAAGGAAGCCAACTAACTACGCCGAGTTTCTTGGACAGGAAAAGCAGTTTTTGCTGGACAGCAGCTGACAGCTTTTTGGGGTTGATAGGCCCAGATAGGCTCGAGTAGGGGTGGTTTGGGGTCAGTGTTCCGGAGGCTTTTAGGAGGCTGTTGGGGACAGGGGAAAAGCATGTTTTCAGAAGGGTGCTGATCTGCTTTTGAGCCACTGGGACGCCAAGACGCGTGTTCGTGTCAAGTTGCAAACAAAGGCTTTTGAGATCCTGCAATCAAAACCCGGGTAAGTGAAGACTAGTAAGAGACTTTCCCACCTATGGGTGTGACCGCCCTCTTGATTCTTTATATGCGTATGGGCCATGGGTCAAAATCATCATGGCTTGCCCCATTTTAGGGTTGCCAACATTCCTTGACAACAAACACCCACATGGTTTTGGGTAGACGTTCCAAAACCAGGTGTTGATTGTGACTCTCAGCCATTGAGCTAAGGACATGATTTCCTTGGATCGCATTCTTGTGCAGATCTGGATTCTCAAATTGGTTGATCATTCCTTGGACCCTGACTTTGACACAATCGAGGAGGTTCCAAAAGACCAGCTGTATTCTCTTCAAGCTTGTCAATAATACCTGGTTTGCTCGCTTTTATTTGTGTACTGTGTTCTATGTTTGTGTTTTTGGGGATAGATCTGGTATAGTTAGGGTTTTCATCAGATGTGCCGACTCCGGCCAGGATTGGGCCGAAGAGTTCTTGCACCACCGCCTGGTGCCGGACTCCCAGACTGGTCGGACTGGTCACGGGCGCGCGTGGGCGCGCGCGTGCGGGGGTGGGTGGGTGTTTGATTGGGGGGGTGCTGAGGAAAACACCTGGGTTACACGGGAAACCAAGAGGAGAGGCACCAAAGAAGTCCGGGTCCGGGGTGATTTGGACACAACTTGTCGAGGACCTTTCCGAAACCAAAATTACTTTTGGTTCAAGGGATGGGATGTATATGTTTGACATGTTGGTGTAGGTCAAAAATAAACCACCAGGAAACCGCAGGTTTTAGTCCATGATTCCACAGGGCACCCCATTTTGGGGTCACCCTACTTCTGACCCACAGCCATGCGGGATTGGTATTTGAAGCATGCAGTCTGGCCCATTCTTTGTGAGCAAAAGCGTCAGTGTGCCTTCTGATCTAAAGTCTGGTTTGGGGGCAGTCAGCAGAAGCAGCCGCGGCCTTGTTTTATTCCTTTGCGTGCCCAGTGATTCCATTTACCTGTGCAGTAGGCAACCTGAAGGAAGCTGCCCAAAAAAATATATAATATTTGGACATACTGGTAGCTGGGATCTTGGACGGCTTTGGGTAGACTCCTATGCCTCGACTCTGACCCGAAAGCCCCAGTCCGCATGCAGTGGACCCAGGCCGCTCCTTTCCGAAGAGGGCGCAAAGAGATTCATCGCCGGGACCTTGGGAATTGAAAACAATACTTTTGGGCCACAAAAAATTGAACAGCGCAGTTCTTTTTTGGGTTGCGGGGCTGCCGCACGGCTTCGAACCACTTAGAGTGTGAATTTGAGGACATGACTTTCATGGCCACAGATCAGATTGCAACGATGCAACTTTCGGGGCGTGCTCAGGGGCTGGCTTCTAGAATCACGTAGCTCTCAGGTTTGTGTTGGCCGCTTTGAAGTACGGATCGACTTGAGCCCGGAACAAATGCGGAGCGGCTTGGCCCAGGCAATTTTGGTTGTTGTTTTGTTCAATTAAGAGGGAGCCAACACATGTTTGGGCTTCCTTTTTGGTTTGCCTTCGAGCGCCATCCTTATTAACACACCTGCCAGATCCTGCCAGGAGTTTGCGCTTGACCTCTTAAAGTATCTCGCAGCCCAAAGCACATGAATATTGGAAGGTTAAGGTGGATTCCGAATCCAAACTGCAAGTCAACCAACCACAATTTGTTGCATACGTGTAATGCACAAGAACGCTGGCTGTACCTTTGACTCTCTGAAAACTTTCCTTGCGCCGAATCCAATGCCATATATACTTGGTATCCCAGACGCCAGTATCAAGCACTCCAGCTCCAGCGGCAACGCCTGTAGCTGCTGCGTGTGCAGTGTGCATCATGGCATCATGCTTGCGATTCTTACTTCGCTGCGCTTCGCATGATGTACTCTTTCGATAATGATGACGGTGCTGACTTCGCATGCACTGATGATGTCTACTGGATGGCACACCCATGAACCGGGCGGGAACTGCCATGAATTCTCCGGCGATGCTCTGGGTTAGCTCGCTTGCCCAAACCCGACCATCTTTTGAGCTTTTAATTTTCCTGCGCGGTACCCATTAGTCGTGGCCCGAAAAGGTGATCACCTTTTCCCAGTTGCAACCAGTGGGTTCTGCCCTTTTTTCAACTTTTTTTTGGGGAAGGGTTCCCTTTAATCTCAACCAACCAAAATAAGCTCAGGCGATGTCCCCAACAGCAGCGCTTTTTAGTGCTCGCACCACCCCGCAGCCCTCGCAGAACCCCGTGGAACCCTCGTGAAACCCTGGTGGAACCCTCGTGGAACCCTCGTGGAACCTTGCCTCAGGGCCGCCCCGGATCACCCCGGAGCCTATCTGGGCTGAGACCCCAAAGCTTTCAGCTGTTGGGGAAAAAGGATGCCCTTTTTTCCGCTGGCCACTGGGCATGTGAGTCTTATTTCCGGGTGCCAAAGGGGCAACTGAGTTGGGAAGTCTGCGCCGTGTGCCCGACAGGAAGCCCTGGTCCTCACCCACAGGGACGCCTTGGTCCTTCGGATGCCGCTCGGATTTCACTTGGTCATTCATTTGGGGAGTTGGTCGGTGGCCCTGTTTCCCTTTTGCTTGGGCTCCCTAAGGGTCAACCCCAAAGAGAAGTTGGTATCGCGGTTTTTGGGAAGTGCTCGGAAAGGCCCTGTCTGATGTTGTAGGTTGGACACATCTCCAGACTTTCTTCCAGCCAGGGTTCGGCCTAAGCCTTTGTTTCGTGAACCAGTACTGTTTCAACCGCATCCACCTTGGGCCAGGTCTTTGAACATTTTGCCCATCCCAACAAGCCAGCGGCTCACGTTTGGCCCGGCGCCTTTTTGGTTGCAAATGGAACATCTGCCGAATCAGGCCTAGGCATCGTTCAAGTGGTTGAATCTTTGGCGGGATGCACACAAGTTGCTAAACGGGTTGTTTGACTCCGATGATTTCTTTGGAGCAGACCTCCAGAAGGAGCCACGACATGTTTTCTTGCGGGTTCCTGAGGGTCCGAGAGCTGTCTTCGGTACTCTCGGGATCAAAAAGGGGTCAATTGGTACATCACAGGTACCAAGGGACCTTTATGGGAGTACCAAAACAAACAACATATGGATGTGTTGCAAAAAAAGGTCAAATATGGTGGCATCCTCACAAGGTACTTGGATTGTTAGGACAGGTATGCGGGTTGACGAACAATCTACACAAAACACGCCCCACACAGGAGTCCAACTTTCGCGAGCACCCGTGCGAGCAACTGTCAGTAGTCACCATGATCTTCTTGCTGGTGCTCAGCAGGGAATGTGGGAATGAACCTAGGGATTATTCCCTTAAAGGAAACCCTTGCAAGGGATGGTTTGTAGGGGTCGTTCCCTCATTCCCTGCGGAGCACCAGCAAGTTTTTTGTGGTACTGGGGGACTCTGAATACACGCCAACACTACCTCGAGAACATGGGGGTCAACTCACAAAAACATCATGTCATCGATGGGGAAAAAAGACTAGGCTCATGTAGATTGACCTGGCACCCAGGAAATCCGGCAGCATTGTGTTTGCCGCTGTGTTTGCCGCGACTTTCTTTGGGGCAGGACCGCCATTTTGGTTATTAGGAACTCCCAAAAGTGGTCCCCAAAAACGTGCATGTTATTCAACCACGGCCCCAACTCATACCATCTTCAGGCCCCTTTTTTGGTTGTGGGTCAAAACCAATGGTACCATTTTGGGGTGCACCACCCATTTTTGTCTATTTTAGTGGTTGGATTGGGACGTTCACTGGGGGTACGGGCTTTTGACCAATGGCCATTTGACATTTTCCAGGCCCTTTGCATCTGGCTGGGTGGGGCAAAATATGGTTTAAACACCACCTTTGCAAGGGAAGAATCATCATAACCAGTTTAAACATGTTTAAACCAATGGGTGGCCCCACCCTGGCACCTGGCGCATAGGCACGACAAGAACCGGGAGGTGGGAGAGCAGCTGCCGCGGCCTCGGATCGGATCTCCGCGTTTCGGTGGGGCGGACTCGGCTGATCCCCTTTTGGTCCCCGGGATCGGTGCCGCATTTGCAGAGCGTCACGGCGTTGGTTCCGAGCCACCCCCCCAAAACGGCCAAAGTCGATGTGTTCAGGGGTACCTTCCCAATTCCATTCTTTCCAGGAGGCCGGATCTTTCTAGAAACCTTCAGAAACCCAGGGAGACGGCCGGTTTTGAAACGAACGATGGTTGAAAAGAATGGGGAATCAGCCCCTAGGCTTTTGGTTTCCTTGAAGAACATGAAACAACTCTTGGTGAATTTGGGTGATTCTGTTCACTGGAGGGATTGTAGTGAGACCTATTTTAGCCGGAACGTGAAACAATATGGGCGATGGTTGTGTTTTCAAACGTCTCACCCTGTAGATTGGTGAGGGAAACCAAAAGGAAAACCCACCAATTTTGGACTATTCATTTGACACGTACTGTAGTATACTGTATACCCATTCACAGGTCCTGCTGGTTCATTGGATCTGGATTTCTGTGTTGTTTATGAGCTCACCTTTTCTTGGCTCGCAGCCATCCGGTTCCTTAGTTTCTTAGCTTTTTAGTGTTTAGTGGGGAGTTTCATTTAACCCACTAAAAGTTAGACTTTAGCGGGGGATCAGAGGACAGCCCAGTGTTTTTTTTTCTGGGGCAGTTGACGGACTTCTCCATGAAGGGCCCGTGATTTTTGCCGTTTCCGGCCATTGTGCTTCCCCGGCTTTGGGCGAGGAGGGATTTTTGTCACGAGCCAGGGGTTGGTAGCTGGGTCCCCCAGTAGTGCCCTTTTTCCGTTTCTTTTTTGGGGGAGGGTTCCCCGACTAAAATAGACTACAGAAAAAAGTGAAACGGGTACCCTTATTCTAACCTCTCTACTGGAGGACCTAGGTAGGGATGATCATTAACGTTTGTTTCAACCACTGTGAAGGTGCCTCTTAGAAAGCCCATGACCAACCGAAATGGTTTGTTTCTTGGCAGCCGTGGGTATGTCTAAGGACGACCTTTGGGTTTATCTTGAGGCTTATGGTCCGTTTGCTTATCCTGCAATCAGTTTAGCGTTCCGAGACTCACACATTGTCAGGCGCATGCGTCGACGGTGGCTCATATGTCAAGCTTTCTTTGGTAAACTCGAGCGAAGGAAGCTGGGGAGCAGTGTTTTCGCATGTATTCCAAGGGGCGTTCAGGCATGAGAGGGCCGAGAGGGGCATTCAGGCTAAACAACACTCCAACAACACCTCCAGTGATTTGCGCTTTTGTCGTTTTGGTTGAGAGGGGGTTTCCTGTTCGCATCAGCTCGGAGGTCTGTGAATCCGGCGGAAGTTGTGGAGACGCATTGAGATTGTCACAGTGCCCAAACGCCCAGAAGACAATCTTAGGAGGGTCCACTACTACGGGTGCATTGATTATAGTAAAGCCTATGTGAGCCTCTATCACCATAAACCAAGGATCAACAGGTTTTGGGCCCTGTTCACCTGTTTCGTGTGGGGTACGAGACCTTTCGGTGAAGGGTCCATTGTCACTTGAGCCATTCAGCAAGCCTTAGGGGCCAAAGTTGAATCCCTAACACAATACCCCCAACTGAACCATACAGGTGCTTCCGGATGCTTTGCCGGGAAGGACCCAGAAAAAACCATCCCTTACGGCTTTCTTTTTTCAGGACCTTGGTTCATTCCCAACACCCCATTCCGAAAGAGCCAGGGCCCGGACCTTGTCCTCAAGCTCCCAGCACTGGCGAGAGGCCTGGAGCGAATTGCCCGGACCCTCAGGTTTGGAGACTCGGAGAGACCCGGGAGGTGAAGTGAAGGATCCTTGTCCCTCCGAAACACAGGGGTGCGTGTGTGTGTGTGTGTGTGTGTGTGTGTGTGTGTGTGTGTGTGTGTGTGTTTCCGTTTTGAGACTACGAAACACAAAAACCAAAAAGGGGTCCAAATGCACAGCTCAGCGCTGCACACTTTTTCTTGAGCCAACGTGTGACGGGTCGAGTGGGTTTACTTCACAATCCACACTCCCCCTGCTGCATTTTGCAGCATCTAACGTGATCCCGTGGCCCACTCTACGAAATGGGCTAGTCGAGAGTCCACTTCTTGGGACCTCGCGGTTCTCACCGCCCAGCGAACGAAGTCTGGGTGTTCGCAGGCGATCTGAAAGTAGGTCTTGCCCTTGTGCTTGCTGATCTCCAGGATGGTGTCCCCCTCCTGGATCGGGACGGGGTTTCCCAAATGAACCGACCCCGCTGCACTCGCCCTTCGCATCGCACTTGACGATGATCCTCCTTCTTGACTTCCCTGGCCAGAGCCGCTGCCAGGTTCCGAGGCATCTCCATGAGGCCACATAGCCAGCGGCATAGGCGGAATGGGCTCCAGAGCCGGGAGTCTGAATTCTCCTGGCCCTTTGAACCCACCTCCTCGTTCTACCTCTTCCCTCCGTTCCAGGAAGTAGTGCCTCCTCCAAGACTGCTCCGCCATGTTCTTGAAGTACCTCCTCCGGGCAGGGTCCTCAAGAGCCCCCACCGGTACCAAGACATCTTGCAAGCGGCCATGGGCTCCGATAGTCCTACAAGCTACTTCCCTCCCGTGGAGCCTCTCCAGGCTACTGGTGAAACGCCTGGGTCCAGGCTGACTGTCCTGTCTGTCCGAGTCCTGTCCGATTGTGGGGCCGCATCCCACCTGGTCTCTTTCAGTGGGCCCTTCGGCCTCTTCTTGCGGATCTTGATTCTTCATTTCTTGTTTAGAGCTCCCCGGAAAACCCCGTTTAGTCTCTTGCGAGCTGCCCCTAGCCCTTTCCAGGGACGTCTCTTGATGGGAGCCCTTCTCTTCTACCTCAGGGTCTTGATCTTGAATTTTCCCTTCTTCTGACTCTAGCTCCAATTTGACCTGAGAGGCCCGCCTACCAGAGGAACAACACCTCAAAAGTTCCCAAAATCCAATCGCCAGAAGAGCCGTGGCGATCATCATCCATACCAACAGCGAATCCTCCTCCAGCATATCCTGGCCTTGAGCTCCCGCTCCGTTGATCATGCCGAAGAACACCATCAGGACTATTGCTCCCTTCGTGAGGCCCCCGATGATTGCTCCGGACTCCACTCCACTGGGCCTCCATGTCCTCTTGGTGTTCCTGGGTCTCTTCTGGTCTCCACCAGCCGTTGCGCTCGCCGCCCTGATTGTTGATCCCGACGAGGCCGCAGTTGCCGATGATGCCGACGGCCCAGAGGTTCCCGACTCTCCGGCTCCATCTTCATCCATCTCGTCCTGCCTCTCCTGGTCCGTGAGGGGTCGACCTGACTGAAGCACCGCAATCCGCCTCCTCGGCCTCACCCAGAATCGCGAACTTCCAACCCAGCCTTCTCGTAGCCAAACGTCCCGTCTCCAGTTGTCTTCAACGATCTGGGTCCATACCCCACGTCGAACCCCTTCGCGATGATCCACCGGGTTGATGAACGATTCTCTCCTGTCCTCAAAGTCCTCCAGAAATAGGCCGGCCGGCAGATCTCTACGCTCGGGCTGATAGGATCGAATCCTCTCCACCTCATGCACCCTCGTAGCCACCACCAAACCGTCTTCCCGGAATTCCACCTCCCAGTGATCTTCTCGCTCCTCCTCCATTGATGGATACCACCCATGTCCCGGCAACCCTCCACCCGCACCGTCGAGTAGCCGCGGTGGTTGTTCCCCAGATGACAGAATACAAACTTCCGGAGCTCGCAGCGCTTGTAGACGGGGCCGAACCTGCCTTGGTTGCTCCGACGTCCTTACCACAGCCGTCTCCTGCCGCAGTGGCATCCAGAACGTCGTTGCCCCTCTCCATGCTCCGCGAAACCTGAAGTTATCCTCAGTCCACTGGTCATTGATGAGCCTTCTCCCCATGTTGACGTCCTCATACACCACGCTTGTCTGCCGCCTCTGTTCCAACCTCTCCAGCGAAACTCCCGGTGGCAAGTCTAGTGCTTGAGGCTGATAATCTCGATGCCGAGGCAACATATGGACCCGCGTCAAAACGACCATTGCTTCCCCGGTCTGGACGTCCCAGAAGTCCTCCGGCTCTTCCTCAACCGATAGGTTCTCCACCCTTTTTAACAGCTCCGCCCCGCCTCCATCCAAGGGCCATGGCTGACGATTCACAAAACCCTCAGCTCCTACTGGGCAGCCCTCAGGGCAGTGGTTGAACCTTGAAGGGGGAAAAACACCTTCACCGGATTCCCAATCCTTTGACCCAGCCCCAAAAACTCGACCCAACTTGGCCGTTCTTGCGCCTGGTTCATGTTCCCTAGGCATCTTGTTCGAGAGCCCAGGTTCATGATCCCTTGAGCTCTCCACTGGGGGGCCTGGTTCAGGGACCCTAGGCCTTTCCCACGTTGGGGTGTCCGGTTCAGGGACCCTGGACATTTCCCCTGCCCCTGGTTCATCTTCCCTAGGGGATCTTCTTCCTTCTTTTGTGATCTTCTTAAGACAATGGCCCCGAGTGATCAGGGTGGCCACATAAGCTACACCTACTCCTAGAGCTGCTAGGCAGAGGGTCTTAGCCTCCTTTTCCTGGCAGTTCTCCGGGGTCCAACTTGCCACCTTGCCCATGATCAGGCCCAGTCCTGCCAATTTCAGCTTGTTCACGTTCTCAGTCGACCGCCATTCCGTTGATGACGCCTCCACCTTCTCCACGTCCACCTTGACCATCCCGGCTAGCTCGTAGAACTTGGGCCACTGAGCCTTGGCCGTCATGGCTTTCGTGAGATGGTCCGCAACCAGTCGCGTGCCCGGTAGATGCCGCACGGCCCATCGTCCTCCTTTTACCTTTTCTCGAAGCACTTCGGCACGTAGGCGAAGATGACGGGTACGCCATGGCCCGTCAGCACTCCCAATAATCGTAATAGCGCTCGAGTTGTCTCCGTACACCACGAAGTCACCGCCTTCACGATCTTCCGCCCGTAGCTGCTTCTTCTCATGTTCCTCTCCCAAAGGAGCATCCACGTCCTGAACCTCCCCTTCGTAGAGTCTCTCTCCATGTTGAACTAGGTCACTGTAGACCAAGTCCTGCTGCTGGGCCACATCGACAAGAAGGTCGTCCCAAGCCCCATTTTCCAGGATGCCCAACACCACCGCTACCGACTGGCCCATCGTCATGGCCTCCAAGTAGCCGACCAACTCAGCTTCCGCCGTACTCAGTGTGGTGAACGCCTGCCTCACAGAAAGCCACTGCACCAATGACCCCCCATAGCACGCCATCACCCCTTGGTGACTCCGACCTCCTCCAGGTGCATAAGACACATCCGCGTAGAGCTCGATACGGTTCATGGCATGGGCAAAAGGCAACGCCCCATCAACGCCCCGACCTCCGACACACCTCTCGTAGCTCAGTCCTAGTGACTGCGTACCCAGCAGATAGCCCACCATCTCCTCCGCCGCCTTTACCACCAGCTGAGGACACTTGGTGATGTGCTGCGCCATCCAGGCCACCCCGAAGGAAATGTCCGGCCTTGTCCTAACCGAAAGCCACAGAAGCTCTCCCACCAAGCCTTGCGCCTTCTTGACATCATCTGCATTCACATCGACGCCTTCCGGCACCTCCGGCTTGGAAAACGGGACTGGCCTAGGTTGCTGAACTCCATGTCGATGTGCAAGCTCCCCAATGTAGGAAGGCTGTCCTAGGAGTAGTCCCCGCTCACCCCATCGGAGCTCGAAGCCGCAGAACTTAATCCACTTCTCCAAGCAAACCCACTCCGGCTGGCTACAGGACCATTCCTTGGCAATGCGGTCCAAACATCCTTGAACTACACTGTCAGGTCCGCAAACCATCATGTCGTCCACATAGACCACCACGTGGCCCACGACTTTGCCACTCTTGCCGTCGTTCCTCTTTTCCACCACCGACCACAGATTTGACTCCGAGGTTGATGTCAGCGAGTAATGGGCACCACCATTGCTCCAATTGAAGTTATTCAGGGATGCGTCCCGGAAAGCCGCCCAGTCAGCCGGAGAGCTATCCAGTCCATACATTGCTCCCTTTACCCACCACCTTTCCTTTGGGCCACACAGCCCCGCTTGCAGGAGAATCTGCGGAGGTCGCGTAATCAACGTCCTTCTCGTCTCCTTTCGTGGTGCTAGGAGGAACGCGCCCTTCACGTCCACCGCCGCAATTCCCCACTTCTCGTGCGCTGCCTTCCGAAGGACACACCTGATTGCCGTTCCGTCCACGCCCGAAGCGTAATTGTCCTTCTTATCTACGGGCGTCTGCTCCTTTTCGCCATTCATAGCCGTGAGCATATTCCCGCAGATAACCACTCGAGCTCGATGCCGACCATGAGGTGCCTTGATCGTGGTGACCAGCTTGGCCGGGGCGTATTCCGCGTCCTCGATGCCCGGGATATTGGCCAGGTCGTCTTCATTTACCTTCTCCACAACCCCTGACGTCTCGGTGATCGCTTGGTACTCCTCTTCCATAGCCGGCTTCCACTTTTCCAAGTCCTGTCGAACTGCGCTCAGTGGGACCGTGTACGTCTGCAGCACCTTCTCAATCTCCCCCGGACCAGCCGCCTGCATGGAGCACAACCGATTGATGCCCTCCACCTCCTGATCCCTAAGGAATTCAAGCTCTTCTTCCGCCTGCGACAGCTCTTTGGAGAGGTAGTCCATGACAATGGCCTGCGCTGCACCTCCTTCCTCATGTAGAGAAATCCGTTTCAGCTCCTCTCCGTAATGCCTCCTGCACTTCCAATATCTTTCTCCCAGAGCTTCCCGATACTCCTCCACGTTCCAGTCCAG